AGAAGATAGGAGATTTCTGGAAAGTTGTTATCGCTGGTCACAGAACTGCTTTGCGAACTTGTGATAAATTGACTTATCCTAAGCATTTTTCTTTAGTGGCTCGTTTGCATATAGGTGTAAATGGAAGAATTTTACTTTTAGCATAGTTATTTTAAAAGCGGCCCTAAAAACAAGTAAGCTAGGTGAACAAACTGCCTATTGAGCTCACATTTTCCCCCTCAATAGTTTCTTATGTTATTGCCAACACATTACATCCCAAGAGGTACATCGGAAACCACTAGCTTTGCTATGTTTGGGATGACTAAAAGATGCTATTTACGTACTGGTTTGCACCAGTGAAATTAGCATTTGCTATATATGCTAGTTTTAAAAACATTGTTAATAATAAAAATAGTCTCTAAAATGAGATCTAGTCATGTTACATTAACTTTTTTTGGTAGAATAAAAATATAGATGACATATGTTTAATATTGGGTTTCTTAGGATCTACCCCCTTAAAAGCAGGCTCAGATTACATTGGATACAACAGGAGTTGTGTGTGTGCTTATTTTAGGGTAGAATTTGGCCGAAAGTTAAAACAAACATTTCTAAACATAGGTCACACAGAACAACAATCAATACTGTTATAGTGCTTATTAGGAAATAATGTTGTTTTGCACCTCCAAATCCACACAGAATGTCTCCATTTATACCCATATGTGTTCCCCTCATAGATCAACAATGAGTCAGCTTTACTTATTTGGAGAAAGAATAAAATTACCTGCTCCAAAAGCTCATGCCCTTGCATATTGGTAGAATCATTATCATTTTTAAATACAACTGTAAGGTTCCCTACATTTAAAAAACAAAATATTGACTGCAAAACATACCTCTCTCTTCAGTAATATGAACTGAAATGTATATGGTTTTCCCTGTATTAACAGTGGTTACTTCTTTCATTTTTTATGTATTCTCAGCTGACAGTAAAGCAAGAAGTCACTGTAAACGTGTATAAGTCTGCAATTATTATTGAAGTCTTATATAGGTGTATATGTATTCTTTGAAATATACAAACAATTCACAATGTCTCTTTTGGAAATCCCTAATCTCTATACTGACAAAAGTTACCCACTAGAAACTTCTGAATGAAACCAGCAGACTGTGGGTGTGCTTCATATTCAGCAGACTAGGGTAGCTTTCAATGGGCCTAGTGACAGTCACAGCAGTAAGTACCTACCCCTGTAGCAAGGGCCTCAGGGACTGGACCATGTGACAGAATGTATACAATCTAATGCAATGGGAAGGGCTGTTCTGTAACTGGGGCATGAGAATTTTCTCATAATGACTTGTATACAACAGTGTCTACACTATCCCCATACCAACGAGTGGTTGTCGACTGAAATGCTACATCTCTCGTGGAGGTGGAGTACAGAAGTTGATTTTACAAGCCCTTTGGGTCGGCGGAAGGGACTCGGTAGTGTAGACGCAGGTTGAGTTAATAATGTATAACGCGGTTTATGTCAACCTAACTTTGTAGTGTAGACCAGGCATCACAGTACATTGTCTCACTCTTCTCTCATAATCAGCCGTGCCATACAGAGATGCCTAAATTTGGGGTTTAGGATGATGCTTTACCTCTTTGGATCTGGGCCTTGAGAGTTGAAGTTGTCAGGTAGATTTGACAACGGCACTAATTGAAGTTATTACTAATGTTTCACATGGCTAATTTACATCAGAAATGGGAAGTCAGCCAACAGAATTATTACAAATCTTCTTCAAATTTTTGTTAAAGAACATAGCAGTTAAAATTAACTCTGGATGAAATATAATGTTGGGTTAAAATAGTACTGGTAACTTTTTTAGCTGTTAAATTAAAACATTGGAAAACAGAAAAATGCCTTCTCTTATGGTGCTGTTTTGGAGAAGGTGTATAAACTTGGGGATTGGTAAGCTGTTTTGAAGATACAAACTGCTTCTATCAGGTATTCCGGCAGAGAGAGAGAGAGAGAGAGAGAGGAAAGTACAATTAAAAGTCTAACTGTGTAGTTTATTTGGGAAAAAAATTTTGAGAAGACAGTCATGAATTTTATGTACATTGTATTTTTATATATTCATTTTTTTCATTTGTATGAAGCAGACCTGTTTGGCACATGTATATAATCTTATTGTAATGGATTAGATAGATATGCGGATTTGTGCTGTAGTAATATATATATTGATAGTATTGTGTACAAAAGTTGTATTTTGCTTCTTTCTTCATGGAAAAAATTAGTAGTAATGTATTTTAACACTTTAGAGAGAAGTAGGTAATCTTTCAGATTGCACAAGACCAGGCTGCTTGGGGATTTTGGGTGTCCCATTATGTCTTGGAGTGGCTGAGCCTCAGGTAATCAAGACAGGTGCTGATAGAGGGAGGAGAAGCAGAGAGAGACCAGGAAAGCTAGCAGAACTGCTTTTGTGGGAATTTTCTACTGACCTTAATAGACAATGAGATCCTTTCTAGGTAATGTTTCAGTGGCCCTATAGAATTCTATTGCAGGGATATGATTTTCTATTAGAATGTATTGATTGGTTTGCAAATTTCTTGAAATAGATCTTATTATCTCTTAAATTCTGTGGGTTTTAGAATGAATTTTGTAGAAGCCTATTTAGTATCTATTGAACCTTGTTGAGTTCATTCCTATGAAATTCTATAGGTGGTTTTTTGGGGGCTGGGGGGAGGGAATGAGAGGAGGAAAGAAGTCCAGGGAAATTGGTACATTTACTATAACATTCAGAATGAGTCTTGATAAAATAGTAGTGAACCAGTAGAAAAGAGAAACTTTTGGAGGTCATGAGAGAGATTCTAAATTTTTCAGTGAGAGATTTTAAATAAAGGTTTTTCATGCCTCTTTTTTTCCCTTGAAGAATGTTCATTTTTGGTTTCTTTCTAATAACACACTTCCTCTTCCAAACCCTCTGGGGCTTATTATGAGTTTAATGAACAAAACCACAACTTCAGCAAAAGCAAATTTTCTGCTTAATTTGAAACCTGAATTAATCTGCAAAATACCAGGTATCAAATGGTTTTGGTTTTTTTGTGGTTCCTTTTACTGAGCTTGGGCAGGGGAAGGAGTTGCAAAGAAAGCATTTTATTTCAAACGAACACTTGCAATTATATTCTCAGTGAGTAGTTTTAAGGAATAAATAGCTACAAGCCCAAAAGGAATTGAAACAGCATTGAACATTTTCTCTCTTATGAAGTATGAATCTAGAAGAAACACATTGGGAAGAGTGCCCTGTTTAAAATAATTGCAGAAATGGCCACATATAACTTCTTTAAAAAATCACTCTACTTTCCTTATTTTGGCCAGATGTATTTTATAACATATGCTCAAAAGACATCTTTGATTAATTTGTTAACAAACGCCTGATAACAGTGAAGTTGTGGCTTTGCAAATGCTTATCTGTAGCAAGGAATATCTGGTTATAGTTACTGGTATCATTTATATCATAGCTGATGTTTATTTTTTGTTACTGTCATTCTCAAGCCCATATATCAGCCCAGATACAGTTAAAGTTTTGTTATCAAAAATGCACTTCTGCAGGCTTGCCATTCTCTGGGGTGAGGCTTGCTGTTGACCATACAGCCCAGTCCTGCGCTCTTTTCTCATGCACTGCTCCCACTGATGTCTGGTGGATTTTGTTGTCACAACAAAGCCTGTAGGGGCCAGGTAGAATAAAGGAGTGTAAGTGGCAGAATGGTTTGCCAGGTGGATTAGCAAAAACCTTAAAAAACAACAGAAGCTGCCTGTGGTGTTCTTTGAGGCTTTCGGCAGGACATTGAGCAAGAAACCGTTTTAACAAATAAACAAAACAAGTCATCTGATGCGGCAATAAAATAACAGAAACTCCAGCCTGTGTCATCACTTCACTCCTGTATGAGGTTTGGCATCTTTCTTACTCCAGAATAGGGGTGCTGGAACAATTTGTATACTGGGGGTGCTGAGATCCATTGAACCAAATTGTAAACCCTGTATACGATGGAAACCGCTTCAGGCCTGGAGGGGTGGCAGCACCCCTAGTTCCAGCACCCATTCTGCAGAATGTCCTCTCCTTCTGTGTTTCAAGATCCAGGCCTGATTCACCATTGCATGACACCCAGTGAAGTCATGCAGTGCAAATGCTACCTATTTCAAGTAGCAGGATGGAATGTTCCATTCACTTTGCGCTGGTATAAATGACTACAGAAGATGCAGGGCAATGGTAAATCGGTAGACCCCTAGAGGTTTCCTTCCTGCCTGCTGGACAACTTGACTGGCCTGCAGTCTCCAGGATTGCCTCATTATGTCCTGTGAGCACCTGTGCAAAGAAGGGCAAACTGAGCTAACGTTAATCCCCTTGTAGGCTAATGACCATATATTACCCCTGCATACTGCTACGATGTGGCATTGGCTCCTGTAAAAGCCATCGATTCCAAGCAGCATGGTATAAGACCTTGGAGTGAGCATAATTCTGTTAGCCTCCGTATAGATTCTGTAGTTGCATGGGAGCTGCAGACATGGCTCCAAATCATTAGCTTTCTTGAAGGGTGATCCAGTGGTTAGGGCATTCACTTTTTATTCAGGAGACACAGTTTCAATGTTCAATTCTCTGTTCTGCCACAGCCTCCCTGTGTTGACCTTGGGCAGATCAGACTCTCTCTGCCACATTCCTATCTGTAAAATGGTGTAACAGCACTTCCCTACCTCACAAGAGTGTTTTCAGATTGAATACATTAAAGATTGTTTGGTACTAAAGTAATGATGGCTATATAAGTACCTAAGATAGAGAGAGACCCAAAGCTCTGACCTCTTCTGCAATCACAGAGCAGGTCAAAGTAAGTGATGAGATACTTGGGAGTATCGCTCCCAATAATTAATTTACTAGAACGGGTTACACTGGGCATCTCGGAAGGATGTTCCTGAAGGACTGCTGTTAAAAGAACATCTTTCGTATTTTTACCAGGATCTGTTTTTTATGATATCTTATTTTAAATGCAGGTGAACCAAGGAAATTTGACCCAAAGTTCAGAGGACCTATTCACAACAGGTAAATATTTTCATTTAGTATATTTATACTCCGATTAGTTTTACTGTAAATAGAGAATTAAGAATGCCATTAATGGAGAAATGATGTTTGATTAGGCTCAGATATAGATATATATTTTTTTTAACCAGAAGAAAGTGCTGGCGGTTATTCTTGCTATAATTCAGGACTTCCAATTGCTAGAGGGGGAGTCAGTGGGTGTACACCTTGGGAACTTCCAACACCACCCCCATATCCAGGGACAGCCCTTCTTTGTGCAATACCTTCCTTATAATATTACATTGATTTTAGTTTGACTATTCCTGAGTACTACTTGGCATGAATCAGGCTCATAATCATTGGACTGGTACCAGGGCCCAATCTTGCAGCTCTTACTCACCTGAATATTACTTACTCACATGAGTAGTCCTATTGAAGTTGGAGGGCCTACCTGTGAAAGCAAGGATTACAGAACCAGAACCCAAATGTTTCAATCTAATCATATGTTTAAGCAGCCTACTAACTGTGACCTCTCATGAGCCTGAGGAATTGTGACGTTCTGAAGCTGGTAACCAAGAAAAAAAGCAGCGTTACAGGCTTTGAGCTTGATCCTGCAGTGCTGACTGAGGTGAAATTTCCATTAGAAAATTAGAAAACTGTCATAACTATAAAGGGAAGGGTGGCTGCTCTCCTGTGTACAGTGCTATGGAATCCCTCCTAGCCAGAGACTCCAAATCCTTTTACCTGTAAAGGGTTAAGAAGCTCGGGTAACCTGACTGACACCTGACCCTAAGGACCAATAAGGGGACAAGATACTTTCAAATCTTGGGGGGGGAAAGGCTTTTGTTTTGTGTCCTTTGTTTAAGGGGTTGTTCGCTCTGGGGACTGAGAGGGACCAGACATCAATCCAGGTTCTCCCCATCTTTCTAAACAAGTCTCTCCTATTTCAAACTTGTAAGTAAAAAGCCAGGCAAGGCGTCTTAGATTTACTTTGTTTTCTCAACTTGTAAATGTACCTTTTACCAGAGGGTTTCATCTTTGTTTGCTGTACTTTGAACCTAAGACAGAGGGGGGTCCTCTGAGCTCTTTAAGTTTGATTACCCTGTAAAGTTATTTTCCATACTGATTTTACAGAGATGATTTTTACCTTTTTCTTTAATTAAAAGCCTTCTTTTTTAAGAACCAGATTGATTTCTCCTTGATTTAAGATCCAAGGGGGTTTGGATCTGTATTCACCCAGAGTTGGTGAAAGGAGGGTGAGAGGAAGGAGGGGGGATGGTTAATTTCTCCTTGTTTTAAGATCCAAGGGGGTTTGGATCTGTGTTCACCAGGGAATTGGTGAAAGGTTTCTCAAGGCTTCCCAGGGAGGGAATTCTTGAGATGGTGGCAGCGGACCAGAGCTAAGCTGGTAGATAAGCTTAGAAGTTTTCATGCAGGCCCCTACATTTGTACCCTAAAGTTCAAAGTGGGGATACAGCCTTGACAAGAGCTAATGGATGTTCAACATCGGTCAGGATCAGACCTCACTGCTTTGCAACAGTTCTTGGGCAGCCTAACAAATTAACGTACAATGCTTGGTTTTATCAACCTGTTTACTCTGTGATTCACTATTAAACAAATATGCAGTTACCATGACAATCTCTGCCACACCAGGTATTTATGCTATTCTAGTTGTAAGTTCTACTGCAGCTTTTTAGAGAAACCATTATGTCATGTAAGCTCAATGGATTTTATAATGCTCTGGGGAGAAATGCAATCTAGGGACTTGATATTTTTCCTGATGTCTTACAGCCCCCCCCCCTTTTTTTTGTTAAAATTAATGTGTAATTTATGGAATTTTACTTTTTTCCTAATCTGTATTTTTTCTGACTAAACAAGCAGCAAGTGGGAGGAAAAATACTCCTTGGCAGTTTTTTTTCCCCCTTCTGTTCCTGATAATCTTTTAACAGTAATGCCCTATGATATCAAAGAAGCATCCCTATAATTCCAGATTCTGGACATATTTTTTAATAATTTATATAACTAAAAAGTTTCCAGTGGCCACATTGGTATTACTATTGGCTAAAATTGTTCCTGACCCCAAATCATCCCCTTGTGATAAATTGGTTAGTGTGCATGTGTGAGATTGTCTCCTATTGGATGAAATCAGAATAGTTCAACTGTGTGTCCTACGACCTATTCTTCTGACAGCTAATGGAGATTTCTCTTGTATGAAACACACACACAGGATGGTCTAGTGCAGTGGTTCTCAAACTTTTGTAGTGGTGACCCCTTTCACACAGCAAGCCTCTGAGTGAGACCCCCACCTTGTAAATTAAAAAAAATTTTTTTATATTTAACACTATTATAAATGCTCGAGGTGAAGCGGGGTTTGGGATTGAGGCTGACAGCTCGCGACCCCCCAAGTAATAACCTTGCGACCCCCTGAGGGGTCACAACCCCCAGTTTCAGAACCCCTGGTGGTTAGAGTACTAGCTTAGCACGTGGAAGAACCAAATTTAATTCCTTGCTCTGTCACAGACTTCCTGTGTGATCTAGGGCAAGTCAGTGAGCCACTCAATGCCCCAATTCCCAGCTATAAAATAGGGATGATAGCACTTCTCTATCAAGAGGACTTGTGAGGATAAATATATTAAAGACTGTGACGTGCTCAGATACTGCTATGATGGGCACCATATAAGTAACTTAGATAGACAATATACATAAGAGAAAACTGGTAGAAAACATAATTATGTTACAGAAAATGTCCTCTAAGATACCTCCCTCCTAAAGGAGTGTAAGACATTTATTAAAGTGCAATGAGCCATAACAGGCAATAGAAGTTCCCCAAATATGGAGCTGGACCTAACATCCTGCACCAAAATTCCAAGCTAATACAATCCAGTTAGTGGCTCCAGTGAACCAAGTGCATCCTCAGAGAAACTCCCTGCAGAGTCGACAGCAGTCAGAGGGACTTGCTCTGGCCTGTTTGTGGCCCAGGGACTTCGGAAGCCTTCTACTTCCTGTAGGAGAATAACAAAGGAGGTATAGACATATTTTTTGCCTATATGAGCAAAAATTCTAAAAATATGTGTGCAAGGCAAATCTCATCTCCATTTGTACACACCTGGCCACAGGACATGTAAATCTGTATGTATATAATGGGTGGGGGAAAATGTGTCTCTAGTCCCTTCTGATAAACAGACTGACCTGGTCCTAACTTCATAATTAATCTGTTTGTATTGATAGGAGAATAAAGCTGTGTTCTTTTTTGCGTATGAGAGGTACCTGAGACTCCCAGCTGCCAAGTTGTTCTTGTCAATATGTCAAGGTGTGGTTGCAGAAATAATTGTAGCAATGGCACATCCCATGATAGATGCTACAGAAGCTGATACTCGCTGATAGAGAGGGCTATAGACTATTTTATATGTATCCCTGCATCCGCCTTAACTAGTCACCCTAAATATCAATTTGCAGTACCTTAGTCCTTCTAAGTTCTCAGCTGGGCAAAGGAATCTGCCATGTGGCGCTCCATTGAGTTCCATTGGACTCTGGGCAAAGGAGCTTAAAACAGAGGCATTGGAAGATTTCTTCCTCTAGTACTCCATCTAAGTTTAAAGAGTGGTTCTTCTCTGCAAAATAATTATGCGAAATTGGCATTGTGAGGCTTCATGTTCATTGTGTTTCTGTGATTCCATATAAAATGTACTCAATTCACAATAAAAATATTTTGTTTTGAGTCTAATTGCTAGCGAACTACCAGATTTGAAGATGTGAAAATCGCATCATGGACTGTGAAATCTGGTCTCTGGCTGACCAGCTTGGAAGGCAGAGTGGTGAGCAGCAGCTGCTGGCCAGGTGTCAAGCTCTGAAGGCAGTGCTGCTGCCAGCAGCAGCACAGAAGTAAGAGCGACATGGTATGGTATTGCCACCCTTACTTCTGTGCTGCTGCTGGTGGCAGCGCTGCTTTCAGAGCTTGGCGCCCCTCAAGCAGCCGCTGTTCTCCTGCCACCCAGCTTCAGGCATCACTGCCAACAGCAGCCACACAGCAGTAAGAGTGGCAATACTGGGACCCCCCTACAATAAGCTTATGACCCCCTTTTGGGTTGTGGCCCCCAGTTTGTGAAATGCTGCAGAGAAATCACACATTTTTCGTGGGTTGGTCATGCACAAATAGCAAACTTCACAGATGTGTTACACATCTGCGAAATTTATGCTGTGACCAACCTGCCAAAAAATGTGTGATTTCTCTGCTATTTAAGTAGACCCCTACTAATTGCCAGTTCTGTAAACGCTACCTGGAATCTGAGAGTCAAGCTGAGTTCTTAGTAATTTGTGCTTTGTCATCATAAATACCGGGTGGGCTGAGCTGAGAAGTGCCTGTTTTCTGCTGCATGCTTTCCTGGGGATTGGATGGATGTGCAATGAGAAGTGGCTGCTGATAGAACCAGCAATAACTCTCCTCTGCACCTACTATCCTACCCACATCTTGTAATAATAAGGGGTTTAGAACACAGGCAGGCATGGCAACAGGTGAAAGGAGGCAATGAAAATCTTCCAAGTAATCCAACTGCTGGGGGAGGAGGGTGTAGGTTGAGGAGAGGTGTGGTTGCTTCATTAACCTGGGTCCATTCCCTTTGCAAGCCACACTCATTACCTCTGTACTGGGACATTTGTTTTACCATCCTGTGGCTTTATCTTCAGGAGAGCAGCATGTGGCCCAGAGACACTGGTACAGATTTTTCCACCGTGGGTTAGTTAGCTGTGATGATTCTTGTATTTTCATTTCTTTTTGTCCCTTTTAAAAGGAGGGGGAGTGATTGGCAATCACTGATTGCACATACTTAAAATGTTAAACAGCAGTGGATGAATAGAATGTTAAAGTAGCTTAAGGGCAAGTCTACACTACAAAATTAAGTCGTCCTAACATACGTTGGCATAGAGCCACCACAGTAATTAAACTGCTTTTGCATGTCCACACTATGCTCCTTGTGTCAGCGGTGTGTGTCTTCACCATGAGCGCTCGCACTGATTCAGCGTGGGGC